TAAAAACTCCCAGCTCTTAAATGTTTATTCTGTTAAATGTGTAAAGTGAGAATAATGACCAATGACCAAGTGCTTGCACACGTGTCACTTTGCCTGGTGCTAATGACCAGCGGAGGGTCCAGCAGTTTCGATCGCTCTGAGCAGCCCAGGCAGCAGCCCAGGCAGCAGCCTCCACAGGTTACAAGGCCTTGGGGTTTTTTCAGCTTCTATGGAAGTGAGGTTGGCGCCTGGTTTTTCCCAGTGAAGCAAAATAATTCATATCACATCGGAAACAGTGTCCCCACAAAAAAAAAAAAAAAAAAAAAAAAAAAGTTAAAATCACACAGAAAAAAAGTCACTGTAACTCCAACATGGCTCTGCCTTGGATTAGACTGTCTTTGGGGAGGAGGAGGCAGCAGCCTTCCCAGAGCACTGATCTTAAAGGTGCAAGAACACCTGCTGTGAGATCTTACAGGCACACCACCTCCACACCTGTGGTGTGAACAGCTGGCCTTCCCAGGCGGAATGGAAAGGATAGAGCTAAGGCCATGTTCAGAGTGGGAGGCTGAGGCCGCTGGAAAGCATGGAGGGCGGACGTCTGAAGACCCCAAATGATGTCTAAAGAAGTTTGAATCTCACTGTTAACAGCTCGTTTATCAAATATACAGAAAAGTGCTATGCTTTGTCGGAATCATATTCTTTTTAGTTCTTATCACAGTTCATATTCTAGGAAAAAGGGCTAAGGCCAGAGGAGGCACTCAGGGTGCCCAGGGTGCCCCGCCTTCTCCCGGTAAGTGCACCAACCCCTGGGAGACAGGTGCTGCACCCCATTGCTCAGAGGACAATTCTGAGGCCCCAGAGAAACTGAGGCAAATGGCCATCTACCAGCTATGAAATGTGGAAACTAAACACAATTCCACTGGTTCATCTTACAAACAAAACCGATTCTACATTATTAGAAAGGAGACTCTGTCATCTAACTTTGGTCCTAAGCAAAAGTATCCTAATGTTTATGCATAATCTGTCCTCCATGTACTGAGCAATTACTACATTCTAAAAGAAGAAAAGAGAAGAGTTTGAGTTTGTGAACCCTGAGGAGCAGATCTCAGTGCAGAGCTTGGGGTTCCCCGTCACTACCTGCTCCCAGCCTCAGGGGAAGCCTGTGCCGGGAGTGCAGTGAGCGAGGGTCACTCACAGCGAACTTGCCCTGAACAGAGCCAAAATTGAAGGTCCATCAAGTGGCTCAGCTGCCAGTGAGGTCGCACTCGAGCTGGGCCTGCCACTTTCAAGCTTCCAGAAAATGTTCTTGGGAAGAAACAAAAAGCAAAAAAATTAAAAAATAAAAACTGATGTTTTCAGGGAGGAAGGTAAAAGTTATCCTATCTAATAAAAGAAAAATATGCAAATTGACTATCACTCCAACACACAAGATGGCTGCCCCTAAGTAGACACAAGATGGCTGCCCCCATGTAGACACAGATGGCCACCACAAGATGACCAGCAGGGGAGGGCAGTTTGGAGGGACCAAGCCTTCAGGGGAGGGCAGTTGTGGGAGATCAGGCCAGCAGGAAAAGGCAGTTAGGGATGACTGGGCTGGCAGAGGAGGATAGTTGGGGGAGACCAGGTCTGCAAGGGAGGGAATTGGGGGTGATCAGGCCTCAGGTGAGGGCAGTTATGGGGGGACCCAGGCCAGCAGGGGAGGGCAGTTGGGGGGACCAGGCCTGCAGGGGAGAGCAGTTAGGGGTAACTGAGCCAGCAGGGGAGGGAAGTTAGGGGTGACCATTCCATCAGGGAAGGGCAATTGCGGGGAGGGGGGGTGGAATAGACCAGGTCTGCAGGGTAAGGCAGTTGGGGGTGACCAGCCTGTAGGAGAGGGCAGTTGGGAACCAGGCTAGCAGGCAAGAGCAGTTGGGGGCAATCAGGCCATTAGGGGAGGGCACTTAGGGCTGACTGGGCTGGCCAGGGAGGGCTGTTGGGGGCAATCGGGCCAGCAGGGGAGCAGTTAGGCGTTGATCAGGCTGGCAAGGGAGTTGTTAATGGGTGATCGGGCTGGCAAGCAGAAGAGGTTAGGGGCAATTAGGCAGGCAGGCAGGCGAGTGGTTGGGAGCCTGCAGTCCTGGATTGTGAGAGGGATTCCAGATTATAGAGGATGCAGGCTGGGCTGAGGGACACACACCTCCCCGTGCACGAAATTTGTGCACTGGGCCTCTAGTGTTATATATGACAGTTAAATATATTAATTTAAAATTTTGTTTTTTTAATTTATTAGATTAGGTGTTTTAGATTTAAAAGATTTTATTTTTATTAAATATATTTAATTTTTATTATATTTCTTTGATTTTCATTTTAGATATTTTTACTTTATGATTAGTGATTGAGCTTTATTTTTATATGTAGGTCACAGAACTCATTATCTAAAAATAAAAATGTGTTAAAAAATATATAGGCCCCTGTAGCATATAAAATATTTGAGCACAATTATGCAATTACTTCAAATACTAAGTTATGTTTGGATAGCAAAGGTGAATGCAGAGTCAGGTTCTCCCCTTTTTTCCCCTGATGCTCTAGAAGCATTATATGTTATAAACCTGCAGGAGATTTGACTGAGGTTTATTGCCTGATATTTTGCAAAATAAAATACCAAATCAAGAGTAAAATTATATTTAAATGTTATCACATTAGTTTATAAATTTATAAATTTAACATATAGCCTAGTTGAAACTTCCACAATCAGAGACTCCCCACAAACTTCTGGTTACCAGCATTACTCTCCGGTTGTTCTTTTCACATTCCACCCCCCTCTCCTTCCCTCCCTCTCTCTCTCCCTCCCTCCCTCTCTCCCTCCCTCCTCTGTGTGAACACATTCATTGGGGAGGGGGATCTTACAAATTGCCCACAGTGCCAGCTTCCTGGCAGCAGTGCTGGGAGGAGCCGTCAGGATGCTGGGACATGTTTGTAGCTAACCATTCCTCATTCCTTCACTGGCACTATGCGTCTCAGTGTGTACCTAGCAGTTTTCTTTTTAAGCCATTCCAGAAATCTCAAAATCTTGGATACAGTTTAGAATGATCTCTTTGCTCTGTCAACGGGGAATTTTGAAATTTTTGTAGACGAACATTCTAGAATAAATCAATTAAGATGCAGATGATTAATTTGTGGTTTCTGAAAAGTGTATAATGGCCAGAACTGACATGATCTGATCTAAACTATCTTGAAGTTTCAAATTTTATTAACTTTCTTATAAGAAAGTACAATGAAAAGAGCAATCACCATTTTTCAAGATGGCACACCAAAAACTATTAAATATTTCACTTTGCAAAATTTACCTAGTGTTTATTTGAAATCATGTGTTATTGTGCAAGTCTTTTTATTATTTATTCATTGTGCATTATTTTAACTTCAATTAATAAAAATCCATTTTTAAAACTCCTTCTATGCCTAAACAGTAACAAGATGAAGAATTCCTAAATTGTTGCCTTTGCCTGATAAAAAGACTTTATCATATTAAAGACTTTATCTGTATTACAACTATGTCAAATAGCATGAAATTCAGTTACCAAACTTCTAGCCACACGTACCAGAGTGATTGTAATAATTTAATGAATTGAACAAGGTTATTGTTGGCTTTGCCTGGTAAAAAGACTTTATCATATTAAAGACTTTATCTGTATTACAACTATGTCAAATAGCATGAAATTCAGTTACCAAATTTCTACCACATGTACCAGAGTGATTGTAACAATTTAATGAATTGAACAAGGTTATAGTTTACTAATAGAAATAATGATGCCCTCAACAAAACAAAAAACCTTCATCACCACAGACAACACGCTCTCCCAGCAAAAGCAGGACCCGGCCCAGGCAGCCCACTGCCGGACTTTCTCACCGCCTGGCGTTGAGCTGGGTCTGAGGGCACTAGCTTTGCTGCGTTTGCTTGAATTTTCCGAACCATCTGGTTCTCAATTGCACAGGGCTATTGTGTGGACCCAATAATCCCGGCACAAAAATACCCGGAGTGACTCCCCTGGTGTCCAGGTTATGAGCGGCTCAGTCTTTCCACATGCCTGGGGGATGAGCTAGCCAGTGCGAGTTCCTCTCCAGCTTCTAATCCCACTGGCAGGCGGGCGGCGGCCTGGTGGGAGCTGGGGAGGAAGGACTGGGCCGCAGCCCTGGGCAGGCGCTGAAAGGGGCGAGCTGCCGCTGCCTGGAACTGAGGAGACATTGAGAATACAAGTACGGGCCACACTGCCTCCTTCCCTGTGGGGCACCAGAGGCGTTTGTCCCCCTGGCACGTGGCCCTGCGTGGCCGGCGCCCTCTCCTTTCCCCTGGATCCCTGGGTCGTCACCTTAAAAACCACTTGGAGAGGGAGGAGCGCAGCGCGATGCTGGAAACCCTCTGCCTTTTCTCCTAATTTCCAGGCTTGTCCTGGAGGCGGGGTCGTGGTTTGAGCAGCGGGCGCACTGTGTGCAGCCTGCAGAGCTCCCCTCCCCTGGCGGAGGGCCCAGCCCAGCTCGCTCCCGGGCCAGGGGACCCCAGTCTGCAGGACCCGCTGGGCTCCAGGACCGGGCGCCCTCCGGCTCCGGGATAATGGAGGGACCTGCCTCCGCCCTGCCTCCCGCCCGCGCTCCCAGAACTTTTCAAGTCCCCGCGAGGGAGCGCGCCCCGCCAACAGGCGCTTCCTCCGGCGGTCACGGGTCCGCAGCGCACAGCCGCCAGCGCGGAGGGGGGTGTCTTGGGTGGCGGCTGGGCAAGCCTGCAACACCCTGTTTATCCCCAAATAATGCCCGGAGCCGGGGGAGGGGGCACCAGGCGAAAGGCGCTGCATCTGTGCCCAGGACCGCGGGTGGGGCCGCCTCGCAGCTCCAGCGGATGGGACGGGAGAGGGGGTGGCACGGGACCTCCGCCCACCCCACCCACAGCTGTCAGCCCTTGGCATTCATTGGCTCCCCCCACCCCGCCTCCTGAATGCCCCCCCAGCCAGCCTAGCCCCCCGCCTCCTCCTTGCTGACCTAATAAGGCCATGCAGGGTGTGGGGAGCTGGATAAAAGGCGCTCAGCTCGCGGGGACTCTGCACACGGCGGACTCTGCACACAGCGGGCAGCAGCCACCAGCGAAGACAACCAGACCAGCCATGGCCAAGGAGTGGGGCTATGCCAGCCACAATGGTGAGTCCTCGACGGTCCGGGCGCCCTGCACTGTGCAGACCGCAGGCCCTGGGCAGCTCCCGCAGCCAAAGCCACAGCCGAGGGTCGGATGGGGACACTGCTCAGCGCCCAGCCGCCTCTGCCCTCATCGCGGCAGCGCTTCCCGGAGTGCTGTCGCTCCCTGGGGGCAGGGCTGGCTCCCTTCCCAAGACTGCCGACTTCCAGGATCCGGGTCTCGCAGGTCCAGCTGAGTTCCCCAAGTCCGGGCCAGGCAGGCACTCACCTCTCAGCACCGTGCCGTGCGGGGACAGGGCGGGCTCTGACCACCACCTGTAGCCAGTCTTTCAGCCCAAGGCGGCAGGAGATGGCCCTGAGTCCATTGCACATGCAGCCTGAGGCTGGTCCCTGGAGCCCAGGGCAGTTGCTCAGTCCCCAGGTGCAGGAGGAGCCCCCTGGGCTGCGGGTGGGTCCCAGGCTGCCACCCAAGCCCCTCTGAGGGTCTGCATCATGTCCCCCGTTAACAGACCCCCCTCCCCGCCTGTCCAGGTCCTGACCACTGGCACGAGATTTACCCCATCGCCAAGGGAGACAACCAGTCGCCCATCGAGCTGCACACGAAGGACATTAAGTACGACTCCTCCCTGCAGCCCTGGTCTGCCTCCTATGACCCTGGCTCCTGCAAGAGCATCCTGAACAACGGCAAGACCTGCAGGGTCGTGTTTGATGACACTTATGATCGCTCCAGTGAGTATGACCCTCGGCCAGAGCTCCGGGGTCTCGCGGGGCGTGGCCACACTTAGGACCGTCACAGCGTCAGTGGGAGAGGGACACCCGTCCCGGAAGATGGAGATGACACACCTTTGCTCTGGTCCCAGAGCACGGAGGGACGGAGGGAGGGGTTGCCCCTGCCCGCTCACCCTGCCTTGGTCTGTGAGAGGGAGCGGGTGGGGAGGGGGCAGTGTGCACAGGGAGTGCCAGAGCTCTGGGTCCCAGGGCCAGCACCCTGGGCTCTCTGCTTCCCCCATACTTGGCAGAGATTCCCTCCTACAAAGCGAGGAGCAGTGCAGGGAAGGACTGGGCGGCCCCTGACGTGGGGTGGGGCCCGGGGGGACAGGCCAGAGGGTGAGGAAGAGGCTTGCCCTTCGCGCTCCCTCTGGATGTCTGGTGGAGGGAGAGGGAGAGAGACAGAAACACCAAGGATGAGAGAAAATCATTGACCGGCTGCCTCCTACACTCCTCATGGGGATGGAGCCCACAACCCCGGCATGTGCCCTTGACAGAATCAAACCCGGGACCCTTCAGTCCGCAGCCGGTGCTCTGTCCACTGAGCCAAACCGCTGGGCCTAAATCTTGATGTGAAGGTCTCTGCATAGTGCCCAGTGTCCTCTGAGGAATGGTTCAGCTCTCACCCACTCCCCGGGCTGAGTGACATGAAACCAAAGGAAGTGACAGGACTGAGGCATGTGGCAGCCAGCTCCAATTCCGCCCGGGAGCACTCTCCTTCCTCTGTGCGCACTGACCGCCGGGGGAGACCTGCTTCCCGCTTCCTCCCATTGGAACCGACCACGGACCGTCCACGGCAGCCCTGGCTGGGGGAGGAAAGCAGAAGGAGAAAAGAACTCACTGTGCTCAGTGCTTGCCCCACTGGGCACCATGATGAGCAATTCAGCCCTTAATCTCCTTTCATCCTCCCAGCAGCCCCAAAAGCTGGTGTTCTTAGCACCTTCCCACCTTCCCAGAGAAGTTCAGCAACTGGCCTGGGGGGGGGGGGCAGGGGGCACAGGAGAGGGAGAAGGGCTGGGCAAAAGGCCAAGGAGGAGGGTGCAGGACCAAGGGGAGGGCACAGGGCCAGGGCGGGGGAGGGGGGGTGAAAGGGGGATGGGGAGGGCACAGGGCCAGGTGGGGAGGGCACAGGAGAGGGGGAGGGGGTGGGCAAAAGGCCAAAGAGGAGGGTGCAGGACCAAGGGGGAGGGCACAGGGCCCTGGGGGGAGACCAGGACCAGGTATCTGTGTGGCTCTCAGCCCTCAGTCACTTCCCACTGCTCCATACGCCCACCCACACTCTGCTTGTCTACAGCCCCCAGACTCACCCTGTGCTTTGCTTTTATTTTCCTAAATGTTAGATTGACATTAAAAATAATAATAGGAGCAAACAAGCAAGACAGGACGGAAACAGCGCTGTCTCTGATAGAGGCCAACACTTTCTCGGAAGAGGGGGCCCATGTGGCCAGGTGCCAGCCCGGGCATCAGGGCAGCATCGGGTGGGGCGCGGAGGGCCGGCTCCCGCTGACCCACTTCTCCTCGCAGTGCTGAGGGGTGGCCCTCTCACCGGGCCCTACCGCCTGCGCCAGTTCCACCTGCACTGGGGCTCCGCCGACGACCACGGCTCTGAGCACACCGTGGACGGGGTGCAGTACGCCGCCGAGGTAGGAGTGCCACCCGGGGAGCAGCCAGCCCTGTGCCCAGTGGTAGCTTAGCAAAGAGCTACCGTCCTTTCGCCCGAGCCGACCGCTGCCAACCTTCTGGCCAACGGCCAACCGCTAAGGAGTTAAGGGGGCCGGTGGGCGCCCGGGGAAGAGTTCCCAGGTGGCCTGAAGCACTTGGACAGCCACTGGGACTGGGCAGGTAATGGTCGCCTGCACGATGCCTGCCAGTGGGCACTGCTGTGCCCTCTCGCAGCCCCAGGAGGCAGGGACAGGTGAGGAAACTGAGGCACGGCAGGCAGAGAGAAGTCTCCAGGGCGGCGTGCAGGGCTCAGCCTCAGACCTGCTCCGACCGGCAGCTGGTCCTGCTCCCCGAACGCCTCTGGAAGAAACGTGGTGCTTCCAGAACGGTGATCCGTAATTCTGCCAGCACACCTGCCCCTCTCCTAGTGAAGCCTGTGCATACGTGTATGATTACATATGCACATACGCGCGCACACACACACACACTTAATGTGAGCAAATGCTACTCCTTATCTCAGTGAGTCCATTTTTACAAAGCACCATTTGTAGCTCAGATCAGGGCCCGACTGACAAGGAACTGAGACAAACCTCCTGCACATTCTCATGAGTGTTGGAGGCCAGTATCTTCCCGCCCCGCCCCCTCCCGGCAGCCCGGGCAGCGCAGGAACAGAGGTGACACCCAGGCGGCGGGCTGTTGGGTGAACTAACTCCGGGAGGCCCACAGGCCCTCGGTGGCCATCCACCCACAGCCCCCTCAGGGCGCGAGACACTCACTGCTGCCAATGTCTCCAGACATCGCCCCAAGTTCCCTGTGCTCTTTGCAAATACTGTGGGGCTTGCAGTCTCACCTCCGTGCGTGGGGTCATCTCTCATGTTTGACAGTGAATAAAAGTGTCGACGGCAGGAACTATTGTATGCCCTTGCCATTCCATGCAGCTCAGCATGGGCCTGGGCCTCACTTACCTGGAGCCTGTGTTCCGCATTAGGACGAGGTTACCCCGGCTGCGAGCAGGAGGGCGATATGGAGACGCTCACGTCCCCTGCTTCCCCCCACTTCCCAGTTCCCTGGAACTGCAGGGGCCAGCAGACCGAGCTCTGTCTGTCAGAGGAGGGAGCTGATCTCTGAATTCGCAGTTCAATTTCTATTTACTGTTTATCGCAAAGTCCTAAATCTGCTTGTCCTCGTTTTATACACCTGGTGGCTGTTACGATTAGAATCCCGCCAGCTTCTCCGAGCTCACGCTGAGTGGCTTCAGGCGGGAGAGCTCGGGTGTGTGTGGGCATTGGACGGGTGTCCCGGCACCAGGAGCTCACAGCCTCTCTGCTTCCAGCTGCATCTGGTGCACTGGAACCCCAGGTACAACACCTTCGGAGAAGCTCTGAAGCAGCCGGACGGCGTCGCCGTGGTGGGCATCTTCCTGAAGGTGAGAGCCGCTCGGCTGCGTGTGATCTCCACGCTGAGGTCCTCACCCCGGCTAAGGGCAAGCGCCTGCCCCTCTTTTGCTTAACGGGGAGCAGAATGAATTTCAATATTCATTCAACGAATGCAGGTATTTCTGCTAAGACCAGCTCAAATGCCTGCTTTCCCTTAAAAGTGTACCTTTGCCATATTTCTCAAGATGTGGGTCTGTAGATGAGTGTGGCGTGGAGGGCGAGCGGGCAGCGTGGCCTGTTACCCTTTCCCACTCCTCAGCCCACGGCCTGCACACCAGCAAAGCCAGTGCTGGGGGCACTGTGATGCCCAGGCCGGGGCCCCCCGTGCCCCTCACACCAGGCTCAGGGAGGCCACGTGCTCTCAGTCTCAGCGGAGACAGCGCGGGGAATGTGTGTGTTGTTGAGCCAGCCTCGGTTTAAAGAGGCCTCAGTGTCATTAACGAAACACTTTAGTGGCGACATAATCTAGACTTGAAGCCAGTAGTGGAAGCCTGCCTTCTTTCTTTCCCAATGACCTGATTCGTCTCATGTTCTTCCTTCAGTGGCCATGGCCTTCTTGGACAGCCCCACAGGAAGGGGTGGGTCTGATGCAAAGATAGACAGGAGTCTAGTTTTAGGTACATTGAGTCCATCCCGATTCTAATTCTATTTAGAAAAAAAAAAAAAAAAAAAAAACTTGGAACGACTTTGCAGAGAAGGTCAAGGACACAGAAGCAGATCAACATGCAGTTTTGTGGTTCTGTCCTTCAGAGGCCCGGATCCAAGTTTAGTTCAGAAAATGCAAACTCTGAATTTTGAAGGGGAGAAAGAAATTTGTTTTCTTTTCATGGACTACTGGAAGAGTTAGGAGTACTGGTTGCAGATGGATGGATCAGAATTGTTTTTCAAGACAGTCCTAAATTACGGAGAAGGTCAGAATTGGTTTTAAGACAGTCCTAAATTATGGAGCAGATCAGAATTGGTTTTAAGACAGTCCTAAATTATGGAGAGGGAAGGTATAATCACTGGCTTTCTATTTTCTTGCAGATAGGACGTGAGAAAGGCGAGTTCCAGCTGATTCTCGATGCGCTGGACAAAGTGAAGACCAAGGTACAGCCTCCTTCCCACCAGGACAGTGGCACTCTGTCAGCTTCCTCCTTCCACATCCCTCCCACCTGAATCCTCTGCCACGCTGATGAGTGAGCTAAACACATACATGCAAATAGGTACCATTATGTCCGTATATTTACAGCTGTAAAGCACTTCCACATGCATTCGCTTATGTAATGCTCACAGTCAGTCTGTCACATAACTGCTCCCTCAACAAGTGGATGAGCATGGCCACCCCCAAACACATGCACACCACACACACACACATACCCCTCATATACATGTATAACATGCACACACACACACATACACACACACACTCTCCCTCACTTCATATACATGTATAACATGCACACACACTCACACCATATGCGTACACACAACCTCACGCACATATCATATACACATACACTACAGGCACCCCCATATGTATGCACATATTCAACACACACCACATGCACACAAACACAAACACGTCATGCACACACCAAATGTACACACACACAATGTGCATGCACACACAACGCACAGCACATGGACATACACCGTGGAGCGGCCGCAGACAGCCCAGCGGGCTCATTAGGACATACACCACGTGTGCACACGTGCAACACAGCGCATGCACACACAGGTGACATGCACACACATAATGCACAGCACCTACACACATGCTACACACGCACATGCACGCTTGCAGAATGCCACGTGCAGCTGCCGGTAGCACCCACACAGGGTCACCTGCACAGGAAACCTAATGAGCCCGCTGGGCTGTCTGCGGCGCTCCACGGAGTGCGGCGCGCTTTGCCGCCACAGGACGCATTCCGTGTCCAGCAGAACCTGCGCCTCTTCCACCATTGAGGCCCAAAGAGGGACTGCAGTGATGGTTTCTGTCACAGTGCAGCGAGGTTTCTCTTGTTGAGAAGTGATAGAACTTCGGCTCTGCCGGCAGCGGAAAGGGAGTAACATTATGGCTGTCCCAGAGCCAGTCAGACCTCACAGACCCGCTGCCCTTTGCCCTTGGGCCTTTATTTCTGAAGGCATGTGTTTTGTTTAAAACCTCATTGTCTCTGCGGTCTTGAATTTATTCTGACAAACACACGCTGAGGGCCTGGGAGAGCTGCGTGCACGCTCAGTGCGCCTGCCTCCTCACCCGCCCATCTCCCCGCCCCGTACCCCGCAGGGCAAGGAGGTGCCCTTCACCCACTTCGACCCCTCCTGCCTGTTCCCTGCCTGCCGTGACTACTGGACCTACCACGGCTCCTTCACCACCCCGCCCTGTGAGGAGTGCATCGTGTGGCTGCTGCTCAAGGAGCCCATGACCGTGAGCTCCGAGCAGGTGAGCCGTAGCACGGACGTGGCGCTGGCTGGCTCCTGGGAGGGATGCTAAAGTGAAAGTGTACAGCTGCCCCGTGGAAGCTCAGAGAGCTGCCCTACACCAGGGGTTCACAGTCAGCCTGTCCCACCGCCGTGTGAGGTCCCAGAGGGCCCGGCAGGTACAGCCACAGTCAGCGTGTCCCACCCCCCAGCGTGACTTCCTCGGGCACCAGGATAAGGCTCACCATTCCAGGCGGCTGTGATGCTGGACAGTGACCGAGTTGACACTCTGGAAACGCTGTGGGTTCCGATGAGCAGCACTTTGTTCCCAGGAGGCAACAGGGGCAGGGCAGGAGGAGGAGGCTCCTCCAGGCCTGGGGAGGAGGTGCTGACCCTGGGGAGGGGGTGTCACCGGCGAGGTGTCATACAGGTAAGTTGAGGCTCAGAAATAGGCAAGTAATTAGCTGGGGTCACACAGCCAAGTGCAAGAGCTGAGTTCCACCTCCGGCCTGTCTGCTCCAACACCCAGGCCCCTCCCTGCTGCCTGAGGCACGGTGACAGTCAGGGGGTGGAGGCCAGGCTGGGGGAGGAGTGGCAGCCCAGGGGGCAGGGGCTGGGGTGGATGTGGGCTCAGCGTCCCCAATTCTCTTCGCGGCCTTGTGGACTCAGGTTCCAGTGGGCGTCTTCATCAACAGAGCGGCTTTAATCGCCAAGTTCTCTGGTACAGATATTTTGAAAGAGGAAATTTTCTTAAAGGAGAAAAGCTAAACATATTTTCGTGTAGAGATATAGCATCACTGACAAGAATTTCCTGAATTCCTCTCCCTAAAGAAAAAGAGTCCATTCTGAGGTGTTAAATGTAGCGTGATTGTTAGTTCCTCTGCCCTTTACACCACGGGCGCCTCACGCACCCCGCGGAGTGGCTGACAGGTAGGCTTTCGCCGACTGGTCCCTCCTCTGTGAAACCAACTGTTTCAGAACCTGGGGAGGAGACTCCGACGGGGGCATGCGGCCCTGCGGGGGACAGTTTTCACCGTGAAGAAAAGGCCTGTTCTACCAGGAACTGGTCACCCAGCAGCTCGGGCCTGACAGGGGAGCAGGGCCTGCGTTTGCTGGCTGGATCCAAAGCCGGGGGTGTCTCACTCTGTCACACACATCGTGTGTCCCCTGGTCTGCCGTGGAGCTGACCGCCTTCCTCTGTCCGCAGATGGCCAAGCTGCGCAGCCTCCTGTCCAGCGCCGAGAACGAGCCGCCGGTGCCCCTCGTGGGAAACTGGCGCCCCCCTCAGCCCATTAAGGGCCGGGTGGTGAGAGCCTCCTTCAAGTGAGCCTCCGAGGGCCCCGCCGAGCTCGCCGCCTCCTTCCCCGCCTCCTTCCCCGCCTCCTTCCCCGCCTCCCTCCCCGCCTCCTTCCCTGCTCCTGTGCCACGTGTGCCTGTCTTCATCGAGCAATGAGCGACGAGCGATGCCATCACTGACCCAGGATCAGCCGAGAGCAGCAGCCTTTGTGACGGCCCGACCCCCTCTCCTTAAGAGTGGCTTTGGCAGCGCAGCTTCAGGAGAGATGGAGGGCACAGGGATGGGATAAGGCCACGGGCACCATTTCCGGTCAATTTTCACAGAACTTCAGTTTTGCAGTTTTCACATTATCCATTTCCATCTTAACAGCTGAGTGAGTGGTTCCATACGAGGTGTGGAGGCGTGTGTAAGTCACATAGCGCTTAAACTTGACCAGACAGGAATGAGATGAGAATTTAACCCTTAACTAGAACCAGCAGAGGCCCATGCTGTATTAAAGTTCTGGCTCCTGTAAAGATGACCTGGTTTTAATTACCAATGAAACAAAGACACATTCGACCAGGAGTTTTAAGAAAACATGACTTGGCACTCGGATTTTTTTCTTCCTAGAGGTTGTTGACTGTGGCCTAATATTTTTCTTTCCCGGAAGGAGGACCACTTATTTTTTATTTCGCTCCTTTGATTTTCGCATGCTTGTTAACTAACGGCCCGTCGCTCTGTCTGAGCTGCGGGTGGGATTCACCACGCCTACAGGGGCGATGTCTGATGTGCAGCGAGGCGGGCGACTGATCAGCAAAATAATAAAGCCATGAACACGAAGAGTTCTGTGCCGTGTGTGTGTGCTTTTTGTTTTGTTGTTGTTTCTTTAATGAAGGGTTGCACATAACAAAACAGAGTAAAACTAAGAACAGGTGCTGGTGATGGAGGGGCAGTGAACACAGCCCCACATGCTGAGTTTGGTTGGATGCTGCACCCCTGGGAGTGGCGAAGACAATTAGTGGGAGCCTCTGAGGAAGCCACAAAAGGACCACGTGGCCAGGAATTGGAGAGTCGTCTCCAGAAGTCTGAAGGCTGGTTCAGGATTTGGGGTTCATACCATAGGCGCTCCTGAGGGACAAGGAATGACCTTGGTCCAACACATCAAAAGTCCATCTACTTAGCCGGGCCAGCATGGCCCAGTGGTTGAGCATCATCAGCCTATGAACCAGGAGGTCTCGGTTCGATTCCAGGTCAGGGCACATGCCCCACTGCAGGGTGTGCAGGAGGCAGCTGATCAATGATTCCCTCTCATCATTGATGTTCTGTCTCCCCTTCCTCTGAAATCAATCCTATATAAGAAAAGCCTAATATGCTACCTGTCTGGTCTGCAGATCGCCGTTCAATCAATCACAATAGCACAAAATGCTAAGTGGGCTCAGAGCCGGTGGGCACAGCGGCGGCGGTGGGAGCCCCTCCTGCCTGTGGCAGCACTAAGGATGTCTGGCTGTCGGACATCCCCCAAGGGCTCCCGGGCCGTGAGAGGGTGCGGGCCAGGCTGAGGGACCCCACCCCGAATGCACGAATTTTGTGCACTGAGCCCTAGTATCTATACTAATAAAAGGCTAATATGCAAATTGGTCAGGACAACCTCACAGTGATGACTGAATAGCAGACTTCTCAAGGCAACCAGGCCTGCGGGGGAGGGGGGGGTAGTAAGGACCAACCAGGCCAGTGGGAGAGGGGGAGTTGGGGTGACTAGGTTGGCAGGCAGAGGCAGTTAGGGGTGATCAGGCTGGCAGGCAGATGAGCACTTAGGCCCCAGATTGTGAGAGGGATATCCGATTGCTGATTTAGGCTCGGTCCCCGGGATCGGGTCTAAACCAGCAGTCAGGCACCCCCGAGAGGTCCCAGATTGGAGAGAGTGCAGGCTGGGCTGAGGGGACCCCCCTCCCATGCATGAATTTTGTCCTCCGGGCCTTAGTGTGTGTGAGTGTGTGTTGTGTGTGTATGTGTGTATGTGTGAGTGTGTGTGTGTGTGTGTGTGTGTGTGTATATATATATATATATATATATATATATATATATACTTTTTTTTTTTTTTTAGAAGTCCATCCACTTAGACCTTCAAACCATTTACTGTCTTCAATGTGCATTTCATCTCCTCACTGGCTCGGGTTAACAACTTTAGGAAGTGAAGTAGTGCTAGGCCAGGAGCCCCGGGAGGGAAGGTAATGTAATGGGTGGCCACTTGGGTGAGTGAACAGGTTGGTCAGTGTGAGCCGAATGTGCTAATTAAATCCCCTGGAACTGGGAGGCGGGAGAGTCCAATTAGCGGAGATGGCAGCGCATCCCCGTGTCAGGCTGGAGCGCTGTGAACATCCAGGGCACACTCCACGCGGACACACATCTGTGCCAGCCACAGGCTGCAAGTATGCAGTTCCACAGCAAGAACTGCCCAGAGAACAACCGTCTGATCGGGGGAGCAAGCCCCCTGGGCTGTGAGCTCTGTCAGGCTCAGGTACGAGTCTGGACACTGACATTCCCCACGGGGCCTGGTATGGCACCTGGTACTGAGCACATGTCCAACAAACACTCAGTGAATGAATGATGAACACAGGACAATACGCACCTTCTTGAGCAATACTTTACTTGGCAGGGTTCAAATTAGTACTGGTTTTTGCTCATCTTATTTCATTTAGATCTCCTTGGAAATGATTCCTTTAGCTTCAGGTGGTAGCTTTCCAGTAAAACATTACTCCCCTCTTCCAGCCTCCCCCTGCCCGCCCCAGACCTCAATCTGGGTCATTGCTCACAATTATCATCCAACTTAACACTTCCTCCAACTTCTCCCTGGGCTCATTGCTGAGTTATTATGAATGTCCACGTGAACAATGAAACCACACTGGGAACTTATTCCAGGGAGGCATTTACCTGGCGGTGCACAGACCTCCAGACAAGAGCCTTCCAGGCCCACAGCCGAAGAGGGAGCGAGCCAGGAGCTGCGGGAGGAGGGACAGTGCGGGCCGCCTTCTGTTCTGCAGAGCAGAATCAGCATAGGGCAGAAACCAGTCTGAACTGAGTCGTAATATTCACATGATTATATCCTGAGAAGTCTGAATGGGCATCAGAATCAAGAATTTGCTAGATTTGAGCACTGCCGGGTCTCCAGGGTGAACCTGTGTATATAACCCCCTCTAAGGGCTGACAGTGTGTCTATGAAGCAATAAATGACTGTGCAGCCTGAGGGCCCGAAGCTCTTTATGTGGGTCAGTGGGTGCCGGTGCAGATGAGCAAACGCGTCTACACAGAACCTGTCAGACTACAGGTGTCAGTGTCTACCTGTGATCACTAAATAAATACAGCTGGTATGAACTATAAACAAGCTGGTTATGTGTGAAATGTCAGTGTGCCAGTCATTCAAATTAGAATTGGCAAAACAAAATTGGTCTGAAAGAAATTCATAGGTTCAAAACCACACGTAAGATTAATTAGATGTCAGTTTTTCTTTGAATGTCTTCTTATTTGATACTAGAGGTCCGTCCCCTCAGCCCAGCCTGCACCCTGTCCAATCCAGAACCCCTTGGGGGATGTCTGACTCCTAGTCTAGACCAGCAGTCAGACATCCTTCTGAGAATCCAGGACCGCTGGCTCCTAATTACTCACCTGCTTGTCTGCCTGGTCGCCTCCAACTTCCCCCTCCCTGCCGGCCTGGTTGCTCCTAACTGTCTCCCCTACCAGCCTAGTCACCCCTAACTGCCCCTAGTCACCAGCCTAGTCACCCCTAACTGTCTCTCCTACCAGCCTAGTCACCCCTAGTCTGCCCCTAGTCACTAGTCACCAGCCTAGTCACCCCTAACTGCCCCTAGTCACCAGCCTAGTCACCCCTAACTGCCCCTAGTCACCAGCCTAGTCACCCCTAACTGTCTCCCCTACCAGCCTAGTCACCCCTACCGCCGGCCTGGTCACCCCAACTACCTCCCTCTTTCAGCCTGGTTGCCCCTGTCGACCCTTGCAGGCCTAGTTGCCCTCAGCTGCCCCCCCCCACCAGCCCAGTCACCCCTCATGGCCCCCCTGCCAGCCCAATTGACAACTGCCCCCCTGCCATCCTGGTTGCCCCCACCTGTCGTCCCCCCCCACCACCGACCTAGTCTCGTCTGCTGCCCCCCTGACAGCCTGCTTGCCCCCAACTTCCTCTCCTGCCAGCTTGGTTGCCCCCAACAGCCCTCCCTGCTGGCCTGGTCAACCCCAACTGCGCACCCCCCACAAGCCTGGTCACTTCCTCACGGCCCCCCCACCAGCCTGGTTGCCCATGCAGTCTGCTGTTCAGTCATTTGGTCATCCCTCACTAGCCACCTTGTTGGCCTGGTTGCCCCCCGCAGCCTGCTTTTCAGTCAACTGGTTGTACCACAGGCAGGCCCTGGGTGGCTGGGGGCTGAGGGGACTGGCAGACGCGCAGAGTGGCTGGACCCACCTGGGGGCGGGCCTGGTCATGCCGTGCACCTGCTGTCCCAGCGTTGCTGAGGGGACTGGATACCACCATCTTGTGGCTGTGGGTACCACCATCTTTGAGGGTGTGATAATCAACTAGCATATTTCCTCCTTATTGGCTGTGGGTGCTGCCATCTTTGTAAGGACATGATGGTCAATTAGCATATTCCCTCTTTATTAGATAGGATTAAAGAATAATTCTGGATGTAAGCATAACATATTATAGTAGGGGAAGAATAAGTGAGAAAATAAAGGAAAATAATGATAACTGTGAATGTCAGATTAATTTTTTTTCAGATTTAATGCATGCAAATTTAATTATTTTTTTAAAGCTACTCTAAGGCCACAGACTTAAAATGCAAAAATAAAGCCATGTTTGTATGTTATTTTTCATATAGGCCACTAGATGGCAGCACAACAATTATAAAAATGACAAAAAGCCAGCCTTGTGTTTGTTGTTTAATTTCTGCTCTTCTCAAATGCTTAATGAACCCTTAATCTACAAAGAAAAGATGGCGAGGCATTGTTACCACTTTTGAAAATTTTAAGAGCCAAAATGAGAC